ATCAGAGAAGGCAATTCGTAAGTTGCATCTGGGAATGAAGGTAAAAGATTTACCTATACCTATTACGTCTATACTGGCTGACAAGAGCACGAAAACTGTCTCTCAATACGTCGATCGTGTCAAGTGCTATTTCAGGACTAAGGAAGGTAATAAGATTTTACACGAGATATCCTTCCTTATAGCGAAGAATTTACCCTTTGACATGATTCTGGGAATGGATTGGCATGAAGAAGCCGACCCAGAGGTCAAGTTCAAGGATAAAACTGTCAAACTTAAGGATGAGAAGTTCAAACCATGTGTTATAAAGTTATATCATAAGTTTGACTTTAACTCTACTTTTGTCTTTCTGTTGTATGAGTTACCCAACTTTCCGATCGATGGTCATTAAGAAGAAGTTAGATCAGGAGGTGATGATGGTGCTCGTCAAACGAGTCGGTGAGTATTCTTCATCCTATCCACCTTCTATTGAAAAACTTCTTGATGAGTACAAGGACTTGCAGACTGAGCCGACAGGAATTACTAAGCGTGCTATCAAGCACACCATCGAGATCATTCCCGGAAGTAAGATTCTCAAGGGTCCCATCTACCGAATGTTTCCTTGGGAACTTGAGGAATTGCGGAAGCTGCTGCAAGAACTTACTGACAAAGGATGGATTCGCCCGAGCTCATCTCCTTATAGTGCACCTATCTTATTCATGCCTAAAAGGGAAGGTGAACTTCGTTTATGTATTGACTATCGCGGGATGAATTTTGTCACTATTAAAAACGTGGAACCTCTTCCTTGCATTGACGATCTATTGGATCAGTTACAGGGATCCAGGTATTTCAGTAAGATTGATCTCAAATCAGGATATCACCAAATTGAAGTGGCACCTGAGGATCAACACAAGACGGCTTTCCGAACCAGGTATGGTCACTACGAGTTCGTGGTTATGCCTTTCGGTCTGACCAATGCACCTGCGACCTTCCAAAGGTCAATGAATGAGTTATTTCGTCAATGGCTTGACGAGTTCGTAGTAGGCTATCTTTATGACATTCTAGTGTATAGCAAAACACTAGAAGATCATGAGAAACACCTACGAATGGTTTTGCAGAAGTTGCGCGAGGGCAACTTTAAACTGAATCCGAAAAAGTCAAAGTTTGCTAAGCCTGAAGTCTTGTACTTAGGGCGTATAGTAAACGAGGAAGGACTAAGGCGAAGATCACAACAATCAGAGATTGGCCACAACCCAAGACTATAACTGAAGTAAGATCTTTCTTAGGACTTGCTAACTACTATAGAAAGTTCGTCAGAAACTTCTCCCTGATAGTTGCTCCTATGAGAAGATTATTGAAAAAAGAAAAGCCTTGGTTGTGGGACAAAGATTGTGAGTCATCGTTTGAGAAGTTAAAACATACTCGTACTCATTACCCTGTCTTAAAGATTGTTGACCCTTCTCTTCCTTTCATAGTCACGATTGACACAAGTCAGTATGGGATTGGGGCTGTGCTACAACAGGATGGCGGTAAGGGATATAGACCTGTTGACTTTATGTCGCGAAGACTTCCGTCAGACAAGGTAGCCAACTCTACATGAAAGGGAACTGTATGCCTTAGTAGCTGCACTAGATACCTGGAAGCACTACTTGTTAAGGAGACATTTCACTGTGTACTCTGATCACTCTACATTGAAGTGGATCAAGACTCAGCCCAAACTCTCCGACAAGTTGGTAAGGTGGCCCGCATTCCTTGACACATTTAATTTTGAGGTGAAAACCATCAAAGGTAAGTCTAACGTGGTTGTGGATGCTTTGTCCAGGCGTGCATATTTCTTTGGAACTATTGTCTCTTATCTCGATATTGGAAATTAATTGAAAGAACAGATCCGCCAGGATTATGGGAGTGATTCTATTTGGAGTCCTATCATTGGAACTCTACGAAAGAACCCTGAGTTGTTTCCAAAATATCGAATGACTGATGGCTTACTCTTCTTGCTGGATAAAACCGAAGAACGATTGTGTATTCCTCACTTAGAATCAATTAAGAGTTTAACCATTGGGGAATGTCATGATGCAGACGGTCACTTTGGTCTTAAGAAGACCTATGCCGATGTGCTAGAACGTTTTGAATGGAAAGGAATGAAGGAAGATGTATTAATGTATGTGCGGACTTGTCTTGTCTGTCAGAGGAACAAGCCCTCACATGAAAATCCGATGGGACTATTACGACCATTGCCTATTCCAAGTGAGCCAGGTGAGTCTATCTCGATTGACTTTATGAGCCTCACTAAGAGTCGAAACGACAATAGTCAGATAATGGCAATCGTCAATAGATTCTCTAAGTATGCAATGTTCATTCCTTCGCCTGCTGAAGCTAGAACCGAACTAGTTATACAAAAGTTTCAAATGCGATGGGTCTCCGAGTATGGATTTCCCAAAACCATCGTGGCAGATAGAGATGTTCGGTTCACCAGTCTACAATGGCAAAAGTTGATGGAAGTCTACGGAACCAGGTCGACCATGTCGCCAGGCAGACACCCTAAAACAAATGGCCAAACTGAGCAAATGAACCGTCTACGTCAACAACTTTTGCGAATGTAAGTCCATCCTGACCAAATTGATTGGGATAAGAACTTGCCTAAAATTGCTAGTGCATATAATAATAGTATACATACTGTCACAGGTAGGACGCCTAATGCACTGCATAAAGGTTGGAAGCCTAGACGTCCCATTGATGCTTTAACAAGGGATCAGATTCAGAGGCTAGCCCCAGGTACTCATGAATTTGCAGTTCTGTACGAAGAAGACATTAAGAAGGTGAAGGAAAACATACAGAAAGCCCAGTTACAAATGATTGAACAAGCTAATAAACATCGTCGTACTTCACAGTTTCAGGAAGGGGACTTTGTTTGGGTTAAGTCTAAAGAGTTTTCCTTGGAAGAAAACATGTCTCAGAAACTGCTACTTGTCTACTATGGGCCCTGGGAGGTTCTCAAAGTAATTGGAGGTGAAGACGGACCTTCCTATCGTATAGATATACCTCCACACCTCAGGACATACCCTGTCTTCCATGCGTCTAAACTGCTACCTTATGTAGAAAGTGATGATTTTCCAAATAGGCCATCTATGATTCCACCCTCTATGAATGGAGGCTATGAAGTGGAGAAAATATTGGAGCATGGCTATTTCTCTACAGGTGGCAGAGGTCGACCTCAGAAGCAGTACAAGGTAAGGTTCAAGTCCCAACCCCCATCTGAAGCTAGATGGTTTAGTAGGAAAGAACTTCTACCCACAACTCCTGATATTGTCGCTGCATATGAACCTGGGTTAACTGGTAATTGATGTAATTTCTGCGATGGAACTCAAAAATTCGGATCGCAGGAATGAAATAACCCATGCCATATGTCTCGTGGAATTGAGGGCCTCAGAAGGCCTACTTGGTCGCCCTCAGCCCATGCCGAACAAGGGCAGAAAAGGCCCTTCACGAAATCAGGGCCTGGGCGTGTGACATTTGACTTTGGTCAACTGTCGGTCCACCCAACAGTCAAAGTCCAAAGGTACCTAGCCTAGGCCACAAGTCAAGCACACACACTTGTTTGTACGCAGGTACCCAGACAGCATCAGGTCCAAGGGAGAAGTCTGCAACTGTACAATCCGGGCCTTCAGCTGTGAGTCAATTTGAACGACTGAGGGGAAATACACCGAGGCCAAACAACCTCGCTGACTGTTACTTAAGGCTGGCCTCGAGTGAGTCAAGCATTCAGTCTGGCTATGCTGCTTTGACGCTGGCTCGACTTTGACAACGCTGGCTTCATGCTGGCTGTGCACACGCATTGCGACCAACGGCACAAGGTGGAGGCGGCATGTTGGTGCTTCTTCGATGCACTATGGCATGCTGAAGTGGCGCTGCCTCTGGTATATGTGGCGCTACCTCTGGTTTACATGGCATGCTGACGTGGCGCTGCCTCTGGTATATGTGGTGCTGCCTCTAGTCTACATGGCATGCTGACATGGCGCTGCCTCTGGTATATGTGGCACTGCCTCTGGTCTACATGGCATGCTGACATGGCGCTGCCTCCGGTATGTGTGGCGCTGCCTCTGGTCTACGTGGCATGCTGACGTGGCGCTGCCTCTGGTCTACGTGGCATGCTGACGTGGCGCTGCCTCTGGTATATGTGGCGCTGCCTCTAGTCTACATGGCATGCTGATGTGGCGCTGCCTCTGGTATATGTGGCGCTGCCTCTGGTCTACGTGGCATGCTGACGTGGCTGCCTCTGGTAAACATGGCGCTGCTCCTGGTCTATGTGGCGCTGCTATCGGTCTTCATTGATGATGTGGCATATGCCACCTGTCTTGATTGCTGACGTGGCACACGCTGTCTACATGAGGTGACTGGTTGCGAGGAGGAGGAAGATCGGGATCTGTGGATGTAGGGAATCGGGTACTCACCTGTGGTTGACGTCGTCACTGGAAATCTGACGTGTGTTCATTCATGAGATAAAGTGTCACGTGGCACTATTGTGTGTGATCAAGAATATACTTATTATCATTGATGAGGTGATGAGGAAAGAAGCCCGAAGAAGGAGAGGGATCTGGAGGGTTATTACTGTGTGATCTCTCTTCCTCTCCTTTGTCTATTCTCCCTCCACTCTCTTCTCTTTTTGATATTGTGTTAATGTTTGAGATATCACTTCATGATCTGGAGACTTTCATGCAGATATTGAAACTAAAGTGGATTGAGCCATATGTCAAATCAAGTCATTAGAGATCAAAAAACGACTTCCGAGTACCTATCAGACTGGGTTCATTGCATAGAGAAAGAGGGAACATATAAACAAACACAAAGGCAGCGATGGTTTTTATACAAGAAGAGGGGAAGCTGCAGCAAGACACGGGAAGAAGAGGAAGGAGAGGCAAGCCTAACAAGAGAAGAGCAGAGGCCATTGAAGACAGCAAGATGGACAGGGTTAGAAAAGAACAGCATAATGAGTGGGGACTGAATAACAGAAGGCGCTCACTCACATGTAGGAAGTGAGCTGACTTCAGCAGACACTGTGCAGGAGACCCCAAGGTTAGTGAGTGCCCCACGGATCAAGCCGCAAGGAAAGTACAAGTACTGTCCTGCAGCAGACATCACTCTCACTGGCTGGTGATGACGAGGGCTAGTAATCTCTGATGATCCAAAGCTGGAGGATGAAAGCCCTGGAATCGTAGCTGAAGAAGGCATATCTACAGAGATCCTTGTTAGCCATCGAAACCTGTTGTCCTGCAGAACAAAGACTCCCTGCAACACCACCAGCAGATTCACCATTCCCATCAGTGACAACAGCCCTGCCGATCAGGAAATGGTTTTGGGACTGCTTATACCCAACAAGGACTTGCTGACTCTTACACAATGGTCCAAATGTTGTTGCTATCGAGTTTCAACACAGGAGTGTGCTATGAAAAAGCTTGGGATGCAACAGTGTTGGTTGAAAGAGGGTCCAGAGCTGGATAACTACACGGTTAAGATAATCAGCCAATGCTTCACTGTTACAGCAAATATAGCAATGCATAACCAGGAAAGCTGAATTCAAAACACAGCTACAGACATCTCCATTTCGCACTCAACTTGAAAGCTGATTGTCCCTGCAATAACCCGCTCCAATATGCCTTGTTATTGTCTAAGAGGCCACCGCAGGCCCCAACGCCGGCCTAAGGCCGCGTTGGCCCTCAGGGGCCCTGCGCTCGGCAGTTGACTAAGGTCAACTGTACAGCGGCCCACGAGTCAAAGTCTGCATGGACCCAGCCCAGGCCGCCGATCAGACACACACACTTGTTTGTACGCAGGTATCCAGACAGCATTCAGTCCATGTGGAAGTCTGCAACTGTATGAGATCCAGGCCGTCGACTGCGATTCAATCTGAGCCTCTGTAGGTGTGAGACCAGAGGCAGGTCAACTTCGTCAACACTACTTATTGACCCTGGCTCCGGGAGTCAACATTCAGTCTTGCCTTGCTGACTTGGCGCTGGCTTGATGCTGGCTAGACGCTGGTGCGATGCTGGCTTGACGCTGGCTGAACGCTGGCACTGTGCGACGAAGACGACGCGAGACTGCTGCATTCGCGTGCTGGCGCCTCTCTGCTCTGGCGCCAGCTGTCTTCTGGCTTGCTGATGTGGAGCATGCCACGCTGTCTACATTGCTGATGTGGCGCATGCCACACTGTCTACATTGCTGATGTGGCGGATGCCATGCTGTCTACATTGCTGACGTCGTGCATGCCACGCTGTCTTCATTGCTAAATGGGATGTGACATGGAGGAAGATCGGGATGTGTGAGTTGATCGAGTGAGAGAGAGAGAGAGGAAACTTACCTGTTGCTGCTGTCGACATTGCGCGCTGCTGTGACATCTTCATGGGAGAACTGTGCTTACGTGGCACATTGTTGTGATCAGATCTTGTCAGGCTCGTTCTGGGACACTGTTTCCTGACGTGGAGGAGAGGGGAATGCCCGAAGAAGGAGAGGGGAACGAGGGGCTTCTATCGACGTGGACATTGATAGATACTTTCTCTTCAACCCTCTAAACCTATTCTTCCCCTCTCCTCCTCCATCCTCTGGTTACGAGACATTGTATCACAGATCACATTTCATGATTATTGGGAACATTGATCAGCGCTGAGTTATCTTGTATCTGGACACTTGATGAGTTCCCTCCAGACTGAGTTCATTACAATTTGGTATCGGAGCGATACTCCTTCGTCGCAATCTGCTGTTGCGCGTGGTACCGCACTATGGTAAGTAGGGGAGGTGGCCGCGCGTCCAACGAATCGCGTTTATAATTGCGGTCTAGATATTCTCGTACGGACGCGCGCGCACACTTACCTCTGGAAGATGATGACGTGGACCTGCTGAAGAAGACGGCGACTCTGCTTACATGGTGCATTGTCGCTGATGTGGCAATCGGCGATTAGCGCATATAGCGTTGGCGGAAGTGCTCATGTGGCGCTGCGTGTTTGGCCAGAGAAGAGAGAGAGAGAGAGTGGGAGAGAGGGACTGCTGATGTGGCATTGGAGCGCTGCCTACGTGGCAAGGCGTGAGGGTGCTGACATGGCATCCAGGTATTGGCAGGGTATTGTCTGGCGTGGCACTTACCTGTGTTGCGACGTACCTGCTGACGTGGCGTTCCATCCTCCAGCGGAACCTTCGATCTGACGTGGCAAATGAGCTGGCAGACGGCATATCGCTGATGTGGCACCCTTCTTGAAGGCCTGTTTGCCATGGACAGTGACGTGGCAACTCTGCGGAGGTGCTGCGTTGGCATACTGGCGTGCCACGTGGCAGTGGTTGTGCGCTGCCATTGGTGAGAGATTGATACTTGCACTTGTGTGTGCTGACGGGCGGTACAGCATCACGAAAGGCTGTAGTGCCACGCGTCGGCCCTTGCGTCTTGCTGAATTGGCATTCACAGAGAGACAGTCAGAAGAGGATGAGCTGCTGACATCTTGATTGATTATTGTTTTGTTGGCTGACTGTACTCACCGTGGGCTGTTCTGTGGACGTCTGCTACTCACCAACTGTGTGTTGTCTTGATCACACTGGCCGTGGCTGCGGTACCTGTATCACTCTCAGAATAGGAACGTCATCACACAGAACAAACAGCAGAACATTGTATTTATTTCTTTTATTTTTCTTGCCGTAGGAATTAAATTCAATTAATTGAAGTGAGGCTGTGGAATTAGCTGATTGTCTTTTGTAAGTTTATTGTGCGGCGAACTCATTGTACATAATGGCTATGGACTTGTCTGCGTGCCTCCATCTTGACCCGCTTCATCCCTCATCTGTTCTATCCTATTGCTATCACTCTCTTTGCCGATGAAAAAGAGGGATTGCTCATAACTTATGGTCAAACTGATGATTGACGGCAGCTACTGCTGAACCGTCTTCGTACGCTGCTCCAGGAGGTAACCAGATTGTTCAATCTGCGTGCCACAGAAACTGAACTACAACAAGCTGATATTGCTGCCCAAATGATGGAAACCAGCAAGGGGGTACAGCAAACAATTGATCAAGCGCGAATGGCACTTGATCATTTTGTTGCAGAGCAGTTTGCGAAGATGACTGAACAAGGACATGCCAAAGAAGAAAGGAGGTAAGAAGTAACAAAGAGAAGAGAAGAACTGTCAGAAGAAATAATGGATGCTACCACCAGACAACTGCAGGCTGCATTGGATGCAGAATTGAGAAAGAAAGAAGCCTATCAGAGAGAAAAACAAGAGAGAAAAGAACAGGCAAGAAAGGTAGAAGAGATTAGACAAAAGTTCAATGTAGGAGGTTCAGAAAATGACGTGGCACTCGTTTTGCAAAATGTGATGGCTTACCTTGCCCACCTGGAGATTAAGATTGACAATGTGGCCAGGATGGTCAAAGGAACAGACAAGGTGGTGTATGAGGAGGAGCCGAAGGGGAAGGAAGAAAAGAAACCCCAGGAGAAATTAATGCAAGAGGCAATGAAGAGTGCCAAGACGACGCCGGAGAAACCTGAAGCATCAAAGAAAGAACCCAAAGAACTGGTGAAACAGAAAGAAGAACCCACCAAGAAGGAAGTGGCAAAGAAGGATGAAGGGGAATGCCTCAAGAAGAAAGAAAAGGTTAAGATGAAACTTCCTTTCACTTATAACGGGAAGCGGGGTGAACATCTGTTACTGTGGATAGCAGAAATCCAGACCTACTGTGGGACCGCACCGGTAGAACAGGAAAGCCAAGTTGCTTTCACAACCTCATGTCTAGGAGAGGTAGCAAGGAATGGGTTTTGTCTGAGGCCAATGCCGCTGACTTCGAAGACATAGATGAGTGGGCTAAGACGATGACTTTGCAGGATTTTCTCCAGAAAATCAAGGAGAGATTCCTCGACAAAACGACTGTCGACAAGGCATTTGACGAGCTCACTACCATTGGCCAAAAACGTTGGACCACTGTCGATGCTCTGTCTTGTGAGGTGGATCGTCTGTTGCCGGTACCTGGACTGAATCTCCAAGACAACCAGGTACTCTACATCTTTTCACGTGCATTGCCCAAACCCATTCATGGACATCTTGTCTTCGAGGCAAAATCCAGTAAGCACAGCTATAGGCATTTTCGTGACCTCGCGCTCCAGAGGGAGCAAATGACCTTCACCTTATACACCACTCGATTCTCCATTGCTGTATGTTGTTACTTGTAATCTGATTTGTTGTACTTTAACGATGCCGATTGTATTAGGCTCGAGGAGATCTCGTACTTGGTCTGACTGGACTAAGATGCGGATTTTATTTTTTTTGTTGTTGTTGGTTGCTTTCTAGTCCAAATATTTGCAGCTCCGGCTAGGGAGTTCTACCTTCTCTTTTGTACTTGTAGTTTGTTTCTTTTACCAAAATTCCTTTTATGCCCGTCACGACGCGCAAACAACAGAGAAGAGAGGGAGCGGCCTTGGCAACTGAAGGAGCTAGTAGTTCCAACATGGAATCAGCCAAGCTTTCTTATATTCTAAAGGCCCATATGGATGCAGAGAGTGAGGCAGATAAACCGTTGTACGAGGTCCTCTATCAGAAGGAAGTGGTCGATGAGGAAAAAGTGAAAGAGGCAAAGCGAAAAACAACCGCTAAAGAGTCTGAGGCTATTTTCAAAACAGTCTCAACTATTCCTAGTGCAGATCTTAAGAACGATCTGGTCGTGTATGTACGTGCCGTTGTAAATAACCATTTGCTCAGCAAACTCCCCAAGTTTGAAATCCCGACTACTCAAGGAAATGAGTCAAATGCGTACTCAGATGGCTGAAATGGTCAAAGAGTATCGCGATCAGTTACAACAAATGACAAGCATGCATTGGGTCGAAATCTCAAGCTCGCTTCCACGTTCTACCTTTGTACCTCTCCATCCTTACCTTCTTCTCAATCTTCTTCGTTGAGTTTGGTGGTTAATCAGGCAGGACCTACAACAGGTGCAGTTTCAGTTGCCGCTACAAGCGACAATGCAAGAAGTTATGCAACTACCACAACCCTGAGTTTGGATCCAGCAATGGCTGGTCCCAGCTATAGCAGTCCATACATGGACAGAAAAGCGGAGATAATACAATCCAGATATGATGGCAAGGATGATGGGGAGTCCTTGATCAGCTCCATGAGAACCTATTTTGCGGTGCACGACACTCAAAGAGTGAACAAGTCCTTGATCACAGGGACGAACGTGGAGGTACGGGGCTTCTTAGTAGTCCAAGCTATGCAAGCTAGATATCCCAAGATAGAACTAACGGAGTGGCTTAAAGTCAACCCGGCTACCACTCTCGAAAACATACTAATAGCGCAATATAAAGACCCAGATGCTGCAGATAGAGTGAGTACGGGGCTTCTTGGAAGTCCAAGCTATGCAAGCAAGATATCCCAAGATAGAACTAACGGAGTGGCTTAAAGTCACCCCGGCTACCACTCTCGAAAACATACTAATAGCGCAATATAAAGACCCACATGCTGCAGATAGAGTGAGTATACAACTCGATGAACTTAAGCGCAGCATGTGGCAGGGCACCATGTACAAATTGCAATTGCATGTCAGCAAACTCTTTGCAACACCAAGATTGGAGTTGGCAACGCAATTGTGTTTGAATGTTGTTAAAGGTACGATTCCCACACATTTGACAAATCGCCTAGGCAAAAATTTATTTGGGTACACTGAGTGGTTTTCCTTGATGAAGGATATAGTCAGTCAAGAGGCAGGAGACATCCTTACCACAACAAGCAATAAGAAGATTTTTGTTCGTGGACGGTTTCGTGGCAGCAACCGTCTAGTTGCGCTTGACTTGGTGGAGGGGGAAGGGGTGGCTGAAGCAGATGACCCCACTCTTCGCGACCACTAAGAACAGGACGCTGATACAGCCTACTCTTCCACTCAAGAATCTGATATTAATAACAAAGATGAGAAATTCGGTGCCTTCAAAAAGACCCAAATTCCGTGAGGAACTTTGTCGCACTTCGTAAGGGAGCCAGAATCCCAGCCAATCCGGAGGACCCAAGTACTAAACCTTGGGTGACCTCCGCATCAGTGAGGTTGAATGAAAGGCTAGGATAAAGAGAGGAGGTTGCCTACATTGCCAGAAAACTAGTTACAAAGTCCAAAGATGCTTTAGGCTGCAGAGAAACCTGAATCGGGTGTAGAGGGTTCATCAACACACTGTACGGCAAGGGAGTATGAACCGGTCAATGATAGTTGTCTAAAGGAACATGTACCAGACCAACAATCCTCCCTTGAAGCTCCATCTTCAGCTAATTCCAACGCTAAGGAATGTTATGTTTTGTATGTTGAGCCTTGGGAGGAGTCAGAGAAGGTTGACTTTCACTGTCACCTAGAGCATTGGGTTGAGATGAAACAACAACATGCTCAAAGGACAGTAAAGTTGATATTTTTCAAACTTCTCATCGACCACCGCTATCTTCGCGTCTTAATTGATTGTCGTGCTACAACTAACTTCATGTCACCTCACGGGATACGAAAAATGGGCTTGGGGATGAAGCAAGTGGCTTTGCAGAACCCTTGTCGGACTCAAGTAGGCAACAAAGAGGTTGTCTCAACTACACATGCAATCAAAGGTGTGCGGACTACCTTTGATAGAAAAAAAATCATCATACACGCATTGGACTTCTATGCCCTTGACAAGTGTCCCTTCGATGCAGTCCTCGGGTCGGGCTGGTTGCAGTCCCAATGCAAATGGACCAAGTGGAAGGAGCCACTTTTCATGGTCAAAGATGCACAAGGGAACGAACATTCCGTCCTCTTGGACGAGAAGCTTAACTCCCCGGCGACCTTTCTTAATGCCATGCAGTTCTGCAAGAAATGGCGCAGACACAAAGAGGATGAACAATTGTATGTTACTTTCATTCGCCCTACTCATGTGCCTACTACTTTTGCGCCTAGTACTAGTTCTACTTTACCTAACGAATCTACTTCTAGCACTTCTACTTCTCTACCTACCTCTAGTCTAAATGACTCTACTTCATATTCAGTTGCCTCCGTTCGTAATCTGCGACCTGATCTAAGTGATCCTTTTGCTTATTCTCCATCCCCACTGGTCCCAACAAACATTCAAAGCCTACTCGACCAATTTTCGTGGACCACCAGATTGAACTTTATCATGCGGACCAGCACAAGACACGTGATGGGCTTTACGAATTCACCGTAATGCCCTTCGGTCTCACGATCGCACCGTCCACCTTCCAAAGTCTTATGGACAAAGTCCTCCGCGAACAGATCAGTTAGTTTGTGGTTGTGCACCTCGATGACATAGATTTTTAGCAAGTCCATCGAGGAACATATGAAGCACCTTGAGGAAGTGTTCACCATCCTCAAGAAAATACAACTCCACCTCAACTTAAAGAAATTTGAGTTTGGGAGGGACAACGTCATCTATCTTGGGCATCGGTTGTCTGCTGCAGGCCTCGAGCCTGAGGCAACCAAGGTTGAGGTCATACTCAATTGGCCTCAACCCGCAAACGTTCGCGAATTGCGTTCTTTCCTTGGTCTTGCATCATACCATCGGAAGTTTGTGCCTTCTATTGTTGCTCGCCCGTTGTCCCGACTAAGTAGTA